ACTGAAATGGCTTGGTTAGAAAGTGTCAAAACAAAACGCTTTGACATTTCCAAACATTCCCCCTTTTCGTCCAGCTCTGGGAACAAGCTTGAAACCAATCTCTCTGGGCCTTGGCCAGAAGACAGACGATAATGATTTACTATTATTATTAATGCTTATAAAGCACTTTGGTGATGTAGGGGTGTTAAGTGTTGTTAATATTAATACCTATTAATAATGGAGACTGTAAATGGGGTGGGATAGTGGTGACCTTCACCTACCTTCCAAAGCACCCTGGCTACTTCCCGTCTTAGGAGCTGCAAATAATTCAGTTATTTTTTTAAAGGTGCCGATGGAGAGGGGGACATTTTTATTTCGCCTGTGGTTAGAACACTCACATCTGGAACAGGTATGTTTCCTATCAAGAGTGATAATGCAGGGTTTTTTACAGCTGCTTAGGGGATTTGGAAACTCAATTCCCAGTAATTTTAATTGGATTTGGTGCCCAAATCTCTTAGCCATACCGTTACATGTATGCGCACACATATACAAATGGGTATAGTGGTATGTCTGGCAAGCCTGAAGGTACAATCCTTCTCTGGCACATGCATGAACAAGACAACTGATTCTCCTCTCGCTGACGCCTGCGTGACTCCCTGACTTCTACGGCGTTACTCCCGATTTGTACCAGCATACGGGGGATCGGAATCAGGCTCAAGAGGCTCAAATCCTGAGCTATGTTGCATGGATGTGCTGGGGGACATGAGACTTCTCTTCTCCATATACAACAGCGGGGTGCAATTCCTATCTAGGGTCCTGGCCCGGATGGTACTAAGAGGGGTCTCAGCTGCTTGACCACATCCCCACAGGGTCTGGTTTGCTGTCTAAGAGGTGTTACTAGTCTCCCAGTCAGCTAGCTAAGACTGTAGTTGTTATTACATAGTGTAGGCAGGGTGCGATCAAGTGACATTAGACGTTTGGCGCCATAGGCTAGAGGCGGAGATGTTACGGAGAGGGAGAAATGTCAAATTTTGCCCAGGGAAGGAGAGGAAAAACAAAAAAATCTTTGTGCTGTGTGTGTTGGTGTGTTTCCCAGGATTGATTCCTGTTAAACAGGCACCAAAGTGGTGGTAAAATAAATGAACAAAAACAAACCAAAGATCGCTTTTGGTATCTCATCAGCCAGACACCGGGACTCTGACCCAGACGTGGTCCAGAATCTCCTAAGCAACGAGAAGGTGACAGACCAAGACCCCAGCTCTGCTCCTCTCAGGCTATTACATGGGGTCCAGATTTCTCATCTCCCCAGTCACTGACACTCCTCTGCTTCCTCATGTCATTTCCTTTTGTCTCTCTTTGCCATTTCATTGGTGTGGTTATAAGTAAGGCTAAGATATAGTCATGACTTTTACTAAAAATACCCATGGCCAGGTCAGGGGACGTGAATTTTTATTTTTTCGCTGTGACCTGTCCATGGCTTTTATTATAAATACCCATGATGACTAAATCTCTGGCCCTGGGGCTCTGCTGCTCTGTGGACCCCTGCGCCAGCGGTGGGAACTGACTGCCCACAGCGGCCTGCTTCCCCAAGGCCCCCGGGGACCGCTTTCCCGACCACCTCCAGGACCAGCCGCTGCTCGGGCAGCTCTGGGGTCAGCCGCACCAGCGCTGCAGAAGTTACAGAATCGCAGCCTTAGTTATAAGTATCAAGATAGCTCTTGTCAGCCCTTTATGCCAGTGGTACCCAAACTTTTCCTCTGGTGCCTCCCCTTACCAATAATGTAATGTGTCCGTGCCCCCCTGGGCCAGGAGCTGGAGTTGCTGCCGGGGCTGGAGCGGAGCTGGGGGCAGAGCAGGGCTGGCCAGGGTGCACCGTCCCCAACTCCCACGGGCACTGGCCCGGGCCCCACCATGCCCTAGACATTCCTCCACACACCCCTAGGGGACACTCCCCACAGTTTGGAGACCATTGCTTTATGCATGCTCAGAAGCCTGAGGAACTCACTGCTGCTGGAAGTCATAGTTAGATCCTGTATTTGGACTTACCAATGCTGGATAATTTAATAACCAACAGCATGTGAGGTTGCACATGTTCCGGCAGGGCAACAAAACCTCATGATTAAGGGGTTCAGCTGACCACCTTGGGGATTGGGAAGGAATTCAGAGAGGGGTTTGCACACCCAGTTGTACTCTCCAGTGATTCTAATTGTGCTCCAAAGCATCAGAAGGAGGCTACCACTGAATGCAGGATGTGGGGGTGATAGAGCATATGGTATCACCTGGGGCAGCAAATTACGTGCTGAGATGGGATGTAATGTAGGAAAATCGCAATATACACATGGCTCTTACACAGCACTTTGTAATCTGTAGATCTCAAAAGTACTTTAGTAAATATTATTATCTTCATTACAGATGGGGGAACCGAGAGAGGGAAAGTGACTTGCCCAAGGTCCAACTGTGAGCCAGTGGCAGAACCCAGGTCTCCAGTGCCCCACTCCAATGCTCTAGCCACTGGGACTGCCATTAGACTGAAATGGTGCCACCCCCCACATTTTATTAACGTCTTTCCCCAAAGCAGCCCACCTCTGTGGTTCAAATTCTCTATAGCGTCCCGGCTTCCAGACTCCTGGAAGGGAGAACACACCTTGAGGCAGCAGGAAGCTGTAACAAAGCCCGTTCTCACAGGTGAAAGTTGGGGCTCTCGACCCCTGCGCAGGTAAGCCGGGGAATGGAGGAAAGAGGAAGATAATCCTCTCTGCCAGTTATTATTACTAATAATTAGTTGTATTGCCATAGTGCATAGGAGCTCCTGTCACAGACCAGTATTCCCTTGTGCTAGAGGCTGTACGAACACACCACCAGCTGACGAGGAAGACGACAGCTGTGTCAGATCCCAAGATCAGGGATGTACTAGGAATTATAATTCCACCAGGAGGAGAACGGAGAGATTAAAAACTTTCAAACACGGAGGCTCCATTCCTACACTGCACCTGTCTGGTCCCAAGAGATGAACACGCCACCCCAGTGGGGCTGGCCAGATGGCATTTCCTCAGCAAGAAACAATTAAGAGAGCTGATGGAAAGGTGGTCTGGATCCAAAACACTTTTTCAAAACAACTCAGCCAGGCATCTTTCTATAAACCGATTTTCACACTCGAACTAGCTGAAAACTTCAAAGGCATAGAGGGGAAAAAAAATAATAAAACGCAGGCTTTCCAGCCTGAGAAGCCCACAGCACTTTCAGCATGACTAATATTTTCCATGTGAAATAATAATCCAGAGAGATAAATTTCTCATCAGTATGTGAGTTATGGATGACAGGCGAGCTCAGAATCCAAATTCACCTACTAGTATTAACTTTGTTACAGTGATATGTTTTCATTGCTTCCATGAAAAAATAAATTCACAGCATATACTTTAAGTAAAGACGTTCAGGTTTCAGCCATGGAGCTAGAAAGCTGTCAATCCTAGATGCAATAAAATAAAGAAGGATTTTGCATAGTATATATTACACTGATTTCCTTCTACACGGAGCTAGATCAAAGAGATTTACAGATCATATACATAAGGATTCAATACCCCACCACTGGGATTGAGCACAGCAATGGTTTAAAAGGCCAGACCTAAAGTTAATAGAAGTCTCTCCATTAAATTCAATTGCCTTTAGATCATGCCCTAATAGCAAGAGCAAGGGTTAAATGAGTGGGTCCCAGTTAAGCAGAGCCAGTTGAAGTGAGGGGATGTAGTTAGGTAGCAGGGAGTTATCCCAAACTGGAAGCTAGCCAAGACTTTGTGACAAACATCTGTGTGTGGCTAAAGGGACTTCAGTGTTGCATCCCATCAGAAAGGCAGCATTTCCGCACTGCCAGTGCCATGCAAGGTTCAGAAAAAGGAACAGCGTCTACTGAACGCCCTGCCGCCACTCCCTGCAGCACACCCTGCAGGTGTCCCATCCAAGCCCTGACCTGGCAAGACACCGCTCTGATTGCAAGAGATCAGATTCCTCATATTTTTGCCAAGTTAAACCAAGTTCCGTTTAGTTTTACAGCAATTTACAAATGCATTTATGCCCTCCTCCAAAACTCATCTTCAAATAAAGATCTGCAACTCAGCAAGAAGCAATAAATAAATAAGGTAAGTTTAGCAGCTTTGGGAATTATAAGGTTAAAACAATTGCAGATCAGACCCCAAGTTGATAAATTAGGAAGCTTGTAATGATGAAATGCTATAGGGCTCTTCACCAGCTATTCAAATCCAGGCAGCTTATAAATCAAATGTCTGTCACCGAAGGGCTGTGATTGATCCCTGCAGGAGGAGTGTGCAAATGAGGGGCCTTGGGAAATAATAATTATCTCTCGATCTGCTGGAGAGAAGGAGCTATAAATGTCCTATCAGGATTGCAGTCTGAACAGCACATGCACAGGTGACAGCTTGACACCAGCCAAAGGGAGCCTTCTGTGTTGTACCCTAATTATTGATATTCCATTATAAACACATCCCAGACCTGGCGTAGCCTGAAAGATCTGCTAGCTACATGGGCTGGCACTTTCAAAGAGGTCTGAAGAAGGTAAGATGTCTGGCTTCCAATCCATTTCAATGAGAGCTGGGCACTTAACTCCCTTGAGCTCTTTTGAGCATCCCAGCCACGGCTGCTAGTAGTGAAGATTTTAGGCCACTGAAGCTGGATGCCCGGTAATCTCGATGAACATGTCACATCTTTTCTCAACTGGTGGGCACCTTGGTGCAATGCGGTATGTGGCTGACTGAAGGTGCTCAGATTTAGCTGAAATACAATGGGCCTGATTTTTTGGCTGGCTATTCACACCAGTGCAGATTGGTGACAGCAGGAGTATGGAGTGGGGATTTCACTGGCTTCCCCTCTCAACGCATCACTACAATATGCATTCGATCCCTTCCCACACATAGATCAAGTGAGTACAAAGAAAGCTTTCTTTCCAAATAACGAGACATATGACCCGCTCCACCTGCATCTCCACGAGATGTCCCCAGGGTTACACTTACCTTAGCGTCTTGCGAATCATATCCTCGTCCGTGATGCCATAGTAAGTGAGGGTTTCATTCCAGGTGGGATTCAGAGTGTTCCGCAAAGTTTTTGTTCTTAGCTTATTCGCCTGCAAAAAGCAAATAATACACCTGGTTAGGTAGCCTGCCCCAGGTAACTGCCTTAGTTACAGGATGCAGATGATGAATAAACACTTGGGAAACTAAACACAGGCCATGAAATGATGAAGCAACATACTCGAGCAGATCTCCTTTGGCCCTCAGTTCCAATACTCATCTAGCAACTTTGCACCACCCTGCTGATCCCCCCACACGGGATAGCAAAAATCCCCCAGGCTGGTGCGGCAGGTAACTGGAGGTGCACAAAGGCTGTGGCCTTGTGGGTCATTTATAGAGCAATCCAATTATCCATCCAACACCCTGTACAATAAGCAGCAAGATCATGGGCAGCTTGGAAAAGAGCAGTAGGAGACCAGGGACTTCATTTATATAGGGGGAGGGAGGGGAGAATAGGGTAGAATCAACTCAAGCTTATTTAAAAAAAAAAAAAAAGTTTGCTGGTCTGGATGTTTATTTGCATCCCTGTGTTTAGTGCAGCTACAGTTCCTGGCAGACCCAGAACCGTTTCCTGGATGCACGTTTAATTAGATGTGGCAGCTTGTTTTTAACCCCAGGTCACAACAGTTGTACCGGAGGGACATGGCACAGCGCCATAGCAGAGGGCAATTACCACCCTAACAAGGCAAGAGGAAACTAGAGACACATGTCAAGGCTCGGCGTGGGAGCTTGTGAGGGACAGTGTTGGTGTTCTACCAAGTCCCAGAGTCCCCAAGTGTAACACAGCCCCTTTGGGACCAGCTGGAGAAGGGTTCACAGCAACTCCTCGCAGGCCTGACCGACTCGCTACACTTAGCGCACTGCTTTCAAGCTGCTGCGCTGGAAAGCACAGCCTAGGAACCCAAGGGACATTGTGACAGCAAAAAAAGGCACACAGGACTAATGTGGGCAATGGGAAAAACACAATAGACCCAAAGCAGCATGGCTATGCAGACAGCGATGCTAACCCACCAGTTCCAATGCTAGTGGTCCAATTTTCTAGCACAGACAAGGCTGTAACAGCTAGAAACCCTCAGTCTAACTCCTGCGCAACAGTGTCAAACCAGGGACAACACCTCGTGCAGCAGGATACTATAATGAAATTCTAAAACGGCACAGGGCCTTTTCCAAAAAGCATTGGCACCATAATGGAGTGTCACTAAAAAACACACTGCTGTGCCAGTACATCAGATCCATTTCTGAAAATAAGTAACCATCCCAATGAGTATATTGTATTAGTGCATTATTGAGATGCTGCCAAGAGCCATTGTTTGGATGGATTTATTTTCCTTTTTTTGTTCTTCTCTCAGTGCACATTATTAAATCATTGCTCATTCATTGCAAGGCCTCATGGGAAGTCTGCTCCACCTGTTACGAGTGCTGGCTGCATCCTAGAGCACAGTTACCCAATACCTAAATGTTAGCCTAGAACAGGCGCTAGGAAGCTAACTGGGAATGTGTTCCACTCCCAGTGGAGATCACCAGAGCATCCCAGCTGCTTTCTGCCTATGAGATGAGTCAAAGCACAGGCTTAAGGGTCTCTCGTCAGCATACAAGTCCTACGGAGCTTTGCCAGAAAACAGGCTCGTGAGGAATTCATTTTCATACCCCTTGGCTGAACCTCTTGATGAAAAGGTTCCCAGATAATTCAGTTTGCTCCAGAGTTTGAAAAACCCAGGGGCTGCCAATGTAGAGGCCAAAATTAAGTGTCCGAGTCCAAATCTTGATGGTGGAAAATCTGTATTTAGTAGCCCCACACCACCACAATGAAACAACAAGAGGCTTCTTTTTCCCTGCACGGGCTTCTGGCCAATTCTGCTGACCAGCAGGACATTTACAGGTCATAAGTTGGAGAACAGAGAAAAGCCACATCACGAACCACCGGCTCGAATACCGGCACTTTCAGTAGTGGTGTCCAGGACAGAAAGACAATGGAGACGACACCTATCTCCTAACTACGGGTCTGATCCAAAGCCCATTGCAGTGTGTGAACAGGACAGTAACAAGGGCTTCTTCCCAAAGGGGCCACTACCACACCCACAGTCTCTCTTAAGCAGTTCTACTGTCCCCACCTAAACAAAACAAATTCAGCTCTTCCGCTCCCTGTGGGCTACATACCCAAGGATGGTTCCCCTTAGGCTTCACCTTTCAGGCTCCCACTGTCTCCCCTCCCGGGGCTCTCGCAGCCCTGATGCTCCTGTGCCTATAGCTTCCTAACTCTGACTCACTGGATCTCTCTCATTAATAGGTCTATCCCCACACACCCCAGGCGTCCCCTTTTAAAGCCTAATTCGGGTCAGCTGATGCAGCACAGGGGCACTGGCCCTGCTCCCTCTTAAAGGGCCAGCGTCATCCTGGATCGGGACTCTTTCCATAGGCTTTGCTAAGTTATGGCAGTCCTTTACAGAACAAGCCGGGGTACCATGCTGTACCTGCTCTGTGGAGAAAGGCCCTGATCCAGCATTGTCCTTAAGTCCATACCTAACTGCAAGCAAATGATTGAGCCCCATTGGCTTCAGTGGGATTTGTGCATATGCTGTAACAAGATGAACCTCAGCATCTTTTTAAAAGCAAACACACTTGCTTAGAATCAGGACCAGAGAGGGGACTTCATGCTCTAGGACTGTCAACCCTCCATCTTTCCCCAGCTCTAAAGTCCTTTTAAATCATCTTAAAGTGAGACTTGTCAACTATCTCTTATAATTGCTCTTTCAGGGCAGTCTTGCCAACTCAGACGATTGTTTCAAAACTCTTATGATAGTTGGTGCTTTTCTCAAAGCCCCAGCTCCTGGAGTCAGGTGATCATGTTAGAACTTCAGTTTGTTTGTTTTTTCCCCCGTGTAACTTTCTAGCCCTTCTGGTTGCATAGAAAAGCTTGAAAATGTAGGAGGGAAAATCCGCCCCAAAGCCCAACATTTAAAAAAAAAAATAATCTCATGATATTGGGGGGAAAGGAGGATCTGACTTGTAATTTTTGAACACTTGGAATTGACAATACCAGGGTAACCAAAAGAAAATACCTATGCTGCCATTGTATAACCATTGGGAACAGTAGATGGACTGGTTAGGAAGAATATCCAGCGGAATAAAACAAAAATGCGATGAAGACGGGCAATAAAACTATAAAGCATTAAGGAACTGGATACATAATCCATGTCACTTTAAACAATTTCTAGCTATGGTAGGAAAATACAGAGCAGGAATAAATTGGGTGCAGGCCCTCAGCTGCCCAGAATACGCAGCAATGCAGCACTGGCCAAACAAAGCCTGATTTAAACAATGCTATCTGAACTAACGGACTAGTTACTTCCGTTGCTCTTTATTTTAGATATCACATCACACTCCTGGCAAAGCTGGACACGGCCAAAGCAAAGGCTGATGCGAAATGCTGCTGCAGCAAATAAAAGCAGAAGACAGGAAAAGTAGAGGCATTATCAAGCTGTAGGATGGTATAAATTAAGCCTTGTATTTTATTTTATTTTTAATTTACAAAGTAACAGGAACAAATAACGAAAGACACAACACCAGAGAAAATGTTCAGAGCTGGGTGAAACCTTGTTATGGGCTGAGGTAAAACCTTCTTCCAACTGATGTGTGAACTCACCCTTCGCTTAAGATAGTTTGTAAGAAACACTTAGGGGGCAACACCTAAAACAAGGCCCAACAGATTCTGCCCAGAAACCAGCACCGCATGGGCACTGTGACCAAGCGGGTGTGAAGGAAGGCAGAACACACAGAAACTGAGAACAGACAGACCCCGAGAGAGAGGCAGATGCAAAAGCAAGAAAGCCAAGCAGTAGCCTGTGAGTACAGAGAGACCCTGGAAAAAAAGCTAGAGCTTTTGGGTCTGTCGGCTAAAGAGGCTTTTTGGGGGGAGGCACGGGAGAAGGGGGATGTCAGTGAATGAACAGAATGTAAATTCAAACAAATACAAGGCAATACTTGCCCAGCATGTAGTCAGCCAGTGGGGATCACAGAGACAAATACTGCTGCTGGATGTAAAATGGCATAACCAAACCTCATGCATCAGGACATAAACTCAAGCCCTCCCAAGGTTTAGGAAGAAAGCCACACACCTCATCCCCCACATCTCTCACATAGCAGAGCCTACTTGACTGGGCATCAGATGTACCCCTCTGCTGGCAGCACAAAGCGAGGCGTAGCAGCACTGCAATTCCAGCTTCTAGCTGGAATGATGTTTACTAATACGTTCCCAGGTCGGGCTCATGCAACCACAGCAGCAGAGAACTGGTGTGACAACTGTGCCCCATCATCTCCACAAATGAAAGAAACGCCGGCGCTTTCCAAACAAGGGAGGAAGACGGCTTCATCCCTTACTCTAGGGGAAATGTATTACCTTTGCGAACAGCCCATTTGGGAGTGAAAGAGGCTCTTTCAGAGGAATACTGGATGGCAAATTTTCCCACCTATCCCCACCCTTCATGGTCCTTTCCACGACCTGCTTTAAACTTGAGCTGAAAGATGTTCCAGCCAGGGGCCTGCAGGAAATGAGTCTGGTGGGTCTTATGCTCAAATAAATTTATTAGTCTCTAAGGTGCCACAAGTACTCCTGTTCTTTTTTTGGTGGGTCTCAGGCCACGTCACAGATGCTGCACATCCCAACCTGCACAAGCTGACAATCTCCATGGAGAGGGGCTAAGTACTCAATGGGGGCCTGAACCAGAACTTGCTGAGGTCAATGGAAAGATTCCCTTTGACCTAACTGGCCAAGCCACTTTCCTCCCCATTGGTGGGGCAGCAGAAGTGCGGGGCACCTTGCAGCACCACTCCCCACCATTTTAATCATCCTCAGGAGCTAGAGAGAAGGGGCCTCATCTCCAGGCTGCCAACCCAACATCTTTCACCAGTGCTGAGTTCACGTAGCTTGAATGAGCGCTCCCTGAACAGCTTCATTCCATCACTGGCTTTCATCTTGGAGCCCAGAACGCCTTCTGGGCGAAAGAAGAGAGCAGAATCCCTGTGCTGAAAGGACGATCGATTTTAAGACAGGTCG